AAAAAAATTCATTTAAGTTTCAGGAAAAATAATAAGAGCCTTATCTCAATATATAGCTATAACTAATGCTGTCCATAAAACGTCAAGAGACCTTTGGCCATTCTTAATAACCTTATAACGTCTGGTATTCTTTGTTAGCATAAACTAACTAGACATTAAAAGACTGTGTAGGGAATTATCCCCAATTATTAATGTCTTCAGTACGACAAAGTGCACAGAAGTGTGTAAAGAGCCCTTTATTAACGCAAACTAATGCTCACAGTTGGCACCGACTCGTGCTTACAAAAGCCAACACATTTGGCTTAACTATAAAAAGTAACGAGTAACTTAAAATTTAATGGAATTAAGTTAGTTTAACGGCTTCACAAGTTATTTAACGGGAAGGCAGGCTCTGACTTGTCAAAGTCGGCGTAAACGAGCCTAATGGCAAGAAGCACTCAACGCCAAAGAAATATGATCACTAGTAAATCAAAGATAACAACTTGGCCTTTAGACAGGCAGAATGCGAACTAAATTCACCTTCCAAAAACTTTCTCTTAAATACTAATTTCTTTCAGCCTCATTTGAATACACGTGAGCTAACTCATTTACATTAGGGCAAGAAAGCGTGGTTTGAAAGCTAGAGCGATAGGAAAAGTTGCTTCAAAATAAAATTATCTGTTAAGTAAATTAAATACATCCCCACAAGCTAATATAACTGTTTGACGTTTATTTTTCTATATTATGCTACCTTTTATGTATGTTTTGGTTACTTATTCAATTAACATTAACCTTATGTACTCATTCTTTCTGTGTAACGTATTCCTTCTTCAACAGCTTCCCGTACACGTATGTTTTTATAATAAACTTGCGTGAATCTATCGAGCATTTAAAGACCATACTTGTCATCTATCATATGTAGAGGTCAAATTTTAAAATTTTGTAATATTGTATCTTATACCTAAACCACTCGTACCTGTGAGTAATTGTAAATTTTACAATCAATATCGACAGATGTTGTGCCTTGCGCCCAGGCACTCTGTTGTTTACATTATTCACCCTCCCCCGCTTACTGAACACATAAGTTTCAAAATAAACTTAACCCTTTCAGGACCAGCGTCGCGTATACGGGATATAACGATACCACCCTTACCAACCGAGCGGGGCGTATACGCGAAGAGCTTTGATCAATCTCTACAACTCAGCGTCGCGTATACCTAACTTGAAAACGGAACGATTTATTTGAATTTTTAAATGCCAGTAGATGTTGCTAAATGGTAACGGTTCTGACATCGGTTAAGGCATGTGGCTTTTGACTTTCATGTATGAGCATCAGTTTCTGTTCTGTGCTTCTGGTTTTGATAGATTTATTGGTGTAAACAAACTGGGAATCACAGCTCTTTAAGCCGGTGTGTTTGTTTATTTCCTTAGGAATTTCTTTTCTTTTTTTTTCTTTTTCTTTTTTCTTTTTTTTTGTTTTTGTTTTTGTTTTTGTTTTCGTTTTTATTCTTTCCGTTTTCCGTTATTAGAAATGTGGGGGAAATGCATACAGCTTAATGTTTTCTTTTCCCTTTCTTTGTTTTTTTTTATTATTATTTTTATTTATTAGGACAATGTGAGAAGACTCACTAGCTGACCATAGAGGGTGTAACGTCGCCGAACTTTTGTGATGGAAAAACGCATACCAGCTGTCCTTTTTTATATTTATTTTAAAACTTAACATAAACTTTCTTGGTTAATTAATAAGTAACTTTACAGCAGTATTACAGAAGGGAAAAGATATCAGCTTTCCCGATGCGCGATGCATCTTACTTGCTCGGCATATGCTCGGCGAAAAAAGCCGCCATTGTTCTGTATGTAAATTCTCGTTTTGAATTATTCCACACGTAGCAGAATTATTAAATTGGAATTTAATTACCTACAGATAATTATTGCTTAATTTTTTTATATTTCGTATTTGTAATTTTGTTTTTATGCTTATAGTTATATTTTTAGTATTTCGCATGTTTCATTTATTTCCATTAATGTGACATTCTTTATATCAATACATATTAATAATTAGTATATTACGTACGTAACTTTAAAAATTGAGGTCATTATATCAAAATGCTGATTTTATATGATTTTTTTTATAAAAGTAGGCTTAACTGCTGAAAATCCGTGGGCCGCTGGCGGAGTTCCATTTTAGGAGGTTCGGTCCTGTAGCTGCGCTTCGTTCTCCCTGCGCTGGTTCTCAAAGGGTTAATGTACTTGTGTTTTTATGTCATTAGAGCGACGCCGCCATAAGACTCCAGAAAAGTTTTGTAATAAATTTCAGTCTCAAATTTACAACATCGTAATTATAGCAATAGTAAAGTATATTCCACATGCATATAATCTAACATAGACTTTTAGGTTTCAAGATCTTGAACATACGTACTGTTTTGAATACTGCAATACTTTTTGACATTTTGCAGCACTTACGCCTTTTTATAAATGCTGCTACATTTTAATAAAGAATTCAAATATGCTTATTTAAAGTTAACCATAAATTACTCCTCATAACCTTTAACTGTATATTAAAAAAATCTAAGCATGCTGAGACGATGGAGGCAGGATCTTAGAAGAGCTTCTTAATTTTTAAAGGTGTTTTTCAGAAAATTTTCATTTCCTTAAGAAAAATTTTCTCGAATATTTTCTACAATGTCGCGTTGTCAACCCCGAAAGTTCTCCTGTCCCTAAAGGTCCTATCTTCCTTGTAATCGTTTACAAGAAGACGGAACATTCAGATAAGCAGAACTTCTTTTCTCTAAACTAAATCAAATATCTGACACTAACGTACCTTTAAATTCATTTATTTATTATGTTCATTATTATAATGCTCATTTTATTATATTCTGGCATTAAATACTTAGTAATTGCTTTAAATCATGTGATTCTTTTTGTTTTGTTTTGTTTTTGTTTTTTGGTTTTCATTTCGTAGACACGCTATCCTTATCAGTAGTGTCGCCTATTAGCACTACCCATCGGGGCCCCTTTGAGGAATTTCTTGAGAGGGAAATACACAATCTTGTGCCTTGATGAATGTATAGATTTGCGGTTTTGCTCCTTCCGCATATGAGAGACAAGGATTAAATCTATATTTCCTATCTCTTTAAATTAAAAGCGTATATTAATACAGTGTGCCTCAACTTGATAAAGTAGTACAAATATAATAAATTAAGACGGTTAAATTAAAAAATAAGTAAAATGCTTATTAAGAAAATTAATTAATATTAAAATAAAAATAAACTCTGTAATTTATTTACTTATTTATTTTTGCTTATATGCTCTCGCTCTGTGTGGATTTATGATTTTTCTGATGTTATTTTCTGAATAATGTATGAATATGTTGGAAACCATAAGAGATGATGTTGCTTTAGTTAATATATAATTTTGCCTGCTATTATATGTCTTTTGATATTTTGTTTCTTTTGTTACTGTGTCTCAAGGTAGAGGCAAACATATTGTTTCCCATGTTAAAAAAAATTTAATTTAAAAATTTTTTAAATTTTAGTTTCCCTGTCCTAGCAAAAGTTAGCTTCTAAACTAGAATTATACTGTTATGTGACTGGACCCCAATATTTATATTTTTATAACTAATTTCCCCCCATCTTCACATCTATTCAGCTTTACAAAACACACTCATTACACACACCTGGAAGACTCTATTTAATGTAAATGACAACAACATCCTCCCCTTTTGACTACATTCATGACACAATCGTTGTTTTTTTTAACTCTTCCTTTTCTTTCTATAGGCCCTTTTTGTTCTTTAAATTATTAATATATATATTTATTTTGCTCTCCATTACCTTGTGGGCCCTTTATTTTTAATTTTATTTTGTCCCATGTTTTCTTCCTGGCCTTTCAAACTCGTATAAAATAAACGAAGTTCCTTTTTACTCTCCTCTGAAACACGAAATTGCCCCCCCTTCTGTATACCCTTTCCTTCGCCCCTAAGCTTGATTTTTCACCCATTCGTGCAGAAAGACTTAGCGGGGGCAACACAAGACATCTGTCTACTTTGTCTGTTTGTCTGATAGTGCTTCTCAAAAGATCAATTAATGTGGACCCTCAAACCCGCTTTTGTTTCAAACAGAGCAGTGCCATGAATGTGACGTGTTTTATGATAAATGTTAAAGGATAAATTTTATTGCGTTAAAAAAACTCTATCAGAGAAATTTTCATGGTTATGGTCTTGGAGAAATACTGTCCACCTCAAATATGTATTTAAACTTCTGTATAGATTATGTTACTTAAAAAAATAAGAGTAAGCTGAGAACGTTTATACTATAAAACCTTCTCTGTCTTGTTTTCCATGAATAACTCTTGTTTCGTTAAACCCACTCTAATGTTATTTTCTTGGCTCATGGAACTTAACCCAGACTGGCCTCAAATAAATCTCCTTTTTGCTGTTTCCGTTGGTTAACTTTTTGTTTTGATTAGCTACAAATTAGCTATAATTTAATTTCATTTCCACTAAAATTTAAATTAACGTACTCTTCCTTGCGATGATTTAGGAAAATGTATTGTTATTTGTAAGAAAGTTTGCATTGTTTTGAAAAAAGTAAATTAACGAGATTGCAAACTCATAATTTTTAACCGAAGTAGCAAACTGCGGTGGAAAAGAAATTTCTTTCTTCATAAATGTAGTGAAAAGGCATTTTTTGGGTGAAAAATGTGGCGTATATTTTTAATTCGTAAATTTGCTGCATCAAATTAATGTAAAAGTGTCTGACTGATAAAAGAAACTTTTTAAATTCATCATGTCTTATCTTACTCGGCATGTTTAATATTTCTATCCTATTTTACCCATTCTACCCATTCTTATATAAATTAATTTTAATGATAAGGCTAAGAAAAAAATTCCTTGTCTTATAAATAGTCCGAAGTTTATCAAAGACAATTACAAGTTTTAAATCAAAAATAATTTTTCAACTGCTGTTTCTACTTTCTTTTAAAAAAAAGTGGCAATGGCAGTTAATGCCTCTCTGGTCGGTTTACTTACGGGAAACATGAAGCATTAATTTAATAAGCCACGAACTGGGATGCTTGTTGTTTGTGTACTTTTGTGATTCAGCATGCAATTTTTTTATAATGTTTACAGAATTTTAAATATACTTCGGAAGTGTAGAACGCATTTCGAGGATGATACTGTGCTATGAATATTCGGGATATCTAATTTCCTCGTCAATGTTTAGTCGGTAAAATGGCGGTGCAGTGTGACGGGGGAGGTAAAGATGAACTAAAGACTCAGTTTATGACTCGGGAAGGAGTTTATAAATTAATGACTCTGTCTGAATACTCAAGACCTAATCGAGTTGGCTTTAACACTCAAGCCAACACACCCGTTAAAGTCTCTTTTGTAACTATGCCCGATCCATCCGGCAACGGCGATCGCATTTGCTTTAATGTGGGGAGAGAACTTTATGTTTATATGTATAAAGGCGTGAAAAAGGTATGTTACTTGTAGGCCAGATTTTCTGTATGATAATGTATAAAAATAACCAGTTATATTTTTGGTAATCTCAACTCTAATATATTCATTTTCGCGTATATTAAGTTCTTGTTTAGTGTACAAGTATCCGGCATGATGTCATGTTCTAGAGATCGCTTTCGCATAGCAAGGCATTTCGGCATTTAATATTCTGTGTTAGAGTATTTAGTTAATTTGTAAGCTACGCATTGTTATGAAGCATTCATTTAGCTGTCGGTATTTATTGTTTGTATCAAATAACTGCAATCTACCACTTGTTTCATAAATTTTGTCGTATGTTAGTGAAAAATTCCTTATGCTTTCTACTTTATTTTTTCGAAATTAATCTGGGTTAAATCTGCTGCGATTTTATTTATGTAGCATGTGAAATGTTTTGTGCTAGAATAAGTTAAATCTCGTTATGCATTTTTCTTTCCTGATTAAAGTTTAGTGAGATGTATAATTAAAATTTCAGTCTTTTACTGTGCGAGAAGTTAATTGCTAAATGTGAATGAGCATTTTGGGCTTCAAATATCTGAATTGAGATTTTTATATGTGTGTATATACTTACATTGCGTACATGCTTGTATATATACTCATAGTAATAGCATAATACATGTAATTTGTGAGTTTAGTAAAAAGGGATATGAAATGTGTAAGTTCTACCCTTTCTTTAAATGCCTAGAATATTTTTCCTTTTCCCCTTCCCCAACTCCGTGTGTGTGTATTACGTATAATGGTTAAGGTATGCTTAATAATAATGGGATTATCAAATGATTACGAGATCCAAGATTTTCTTTTTTTACATGGTTTCTGCTATAATTATATTTGAGAATGCATCTCGTAAAGTTTGAAAGTAATGCATTTCAAGTTTTACTATAAAATATGAAATGAAAAAGTTTGGCCATTTTTGTTTTCTATTCAACAAAAGTAAAGTAATTTTATATTTTATTTACAGAAACAGTATGATAATGTATACATATTAATGTAAAAGTAATGGTTTCATTATATAAACTGATAATTATGTCTGTTCCATCCAATAATATTTAGTATATTAGCAGATTCTTTCTCTCCTGTCCGTCTAATTTTATGCAGAATGCAATGATGCTAATTGGGTATTCTTCATAGGTTATGTATTTTAAATGGAACTGTGATATACCAATTTTGTGCAGAGAGCATTTTAGACTAATTTAAAATCTTTGTGATTTTGGTGTTTATTTAAAATTTATTTTGCATTTGTATTTATGGAAAATGATAAATATTCTCATTTGAGGTACATTTGAAAGGGATCATTAAAATAATGGGGGGAGGGGGCAGATTAAGGGTGGCAAGCAGAAAATTAATAAAATTCTACATGGAATCATAAAAGTAAATTTAAAGCTAGTTATACTGCGTGTTTATTTATATATCTAATAGTTAAAAAAAAAAAAAAAAAAAAAAAAAAAAAAAAAAAAAAAAAAAAAAAAAAAGAGAAGTCTTCACAATCAAACATTACTTTGGTAACATGTGAAACAATTTTTCATAGGCTTTCTTTTCACAAATTTGCTTGTGCAATCTTCTGAAACCATTCATATTTCTGCCAGCATGCTCTTGTGTTTTTTTTTTTTTTTTTTTTTCCCCCTTTTGGATAAAATGTTAAAAATGTTGGATAAAATGTTAAATGTGGCCTTTCAGAAGAAAAGTTTAGTTGATCTTTGGATTATTGGCGATTTTTTGGTGACCAACTCTGCTACAGCAACCCTCTATTTTTTTCGCCATCATTTTGTCTTCACGAAGTAGAGACATGTTTCTTTTCTTTTTTTACTGAACACTTTTTTTCCAAACAATCTACTAGCCGAATTACACTTATGCTAGAATTTGTTTGTAACAAAACTCTAATCATGACAAATATTAACGCAAAATGGGAAAAAGGCACAATCTCTAACTCCTTGCGCGTTTTTCAGAACTCACATACACGTAAACCATTTACTCGTAGGCTATTTTTACTTTAAAAAAAAAATCCCAGAATTGCACAAAATGGCATTGCACACACTCTTACTTTTCCATCTAACACTGCTATTTTCTCATAAATTACAAAAATTTGCACAAAAATGCAAAAAATTCTGTGAATCTTTAAAACTCGGTAAAAAGCACATATATGAAATTACCTGATCGTGAAAAAGTAATACCCTTTCAAGGATGAACATTTCCAAGTATAAAATAAATAAAATATCCAAAAAACTTTTACCTCTAAATTATCTATTATGTAAACGTCACCAACGATTATACCGCAAACATTACAAATGGTTCCAAATAATTAGTGTCAAATATTTAAATCATTTCCATACAGTTTACTTCAACTGAACGTATACCAAATTTACAACATAAAATTCACAAAAATAACTATATTTAATAAAATATCACTAAAACCATGTACACGTCGACTTTATTTTTACTTAAAAAACATCCCAGAATTGCACAAAAAAATGGCGTTGCGCACCTCTTCGCTATATCCATGTACACTGCTTTTTTCTCATAAATTAGAAATTTGCATGAAATGCATGAAAATTTTGTGAATCTTTAAATCGGTAAAAAAAAGAACATATATGAAATTACCTTGATCGCAAAATGTATTACCCTTTCCAAGATGAACATTTCCAGTAAAATAATAAAAATAAATATCCAAAAACGTTTACCTCTAAATTATCTATTATATTATAAACGTCACCAACGAATTCATATACCGCAAACATTACAAATGGGTTAAAAAATACTTAGGTGAAATATGTAAATTACTTCATGCACGTTTACTTCAACTGAACGTATACCAAATCCTACAAACACAAAATTCACAAAATACTATATTTTAATTTAAAAAATATCCTAAACCATGTCACGTCGACTTATTTTACTTAAAAAAACATCCCAGAATGCACAAAATGGCATTGCGCACACTCTTCACTATATCCATGTACACTGCTTTTTTCTCATAAATTAGAAAAATTTCACGAAAATGCATGAAAATACTCAACGTATTCCAAATAGTACAAACATGTAACTCACAAAATCATTATCATTAAATTAAAATATAATTAAATTAAAAAACACTACTTAAAATATAAATAACATACATTAAATTATAAAAAATTAGTTACAATCCTAATTACTTTAAACTAATCATTTGCTAATAACAATTTTCCGATAATATCATATTATTTATTTACTCCTACATTAGAACAATGCATAAAAAAATATCTTCAAATGATTAAAATACTAACTTACCCTAATCTTCAGATCTTCGTTACGTGGCACGTACACTTCCACTTTTCACACAACACCACAAGGAAGCTTAATACAAAAAATAATATAGACTACAGTTTTCCAAATTCCCCCCTTTTCCGATAAAGAATTGTAATTCGTCCATTAATGTCACATGACATATCTCATTGATCTCTCATTTTCCTCACACAAAATATGCGTAATCCGAACTGAGACTTCTCCATATTACCAAAGTCCAGGTAGTAACCTTTATCGCCTCCAAAATGTCGCCAAACTACCAGTTACCATATTCCAAAGATCAGCCAAAAGTTTTTCCAATATAGTGTTTATAGCATTTTTTTTTTCCTTACTTGTAAGAAAAATTGGCTAATCTTTGGAATATGGTAACAGGTAGTTTGGCGACATTTTGATAAGGCGATAAAAGTTACTAGCTAGGACTTTAGCAGTGTACATGGATAAAGTCAAGAGTGTGCGCAATGCCATTTTTGTGCAATTCTGGGACATTTTTTTAAAGTGAAAATCGGTCGACGTGTACGTGGATGATACCGTCTGTATGTGCAATTTGTAAAAAACGCTGCAAGCAGTGGGCGATTCTGCACTTTGTCCGAAATTCGCACCTAATCTTCGTCTTGATTAAGCACTTTTGTTCCATAAAAGTTCTAGTATAAGCGTAATTCGGCTAGCAGATTGTTGGAAAAAAATGTTGAGTAAAAAAAAAAAAAAAAAAAAAAAAAAAAAAAAAAAAAAAAAAACAAAAAAAACTTTACTTCGTGAAAACAGTTGCTGTAGCAGGGTTGGTTGCCAAATTTTTGCCAAAAAATCGCCAAGTTACCATAATCCAAAGATTAACCGAAAAATATGCCACTGGTGAAGTAAATAAAAAAATCAAATTTTATTTAGATATAAGAAAAATCTGAGGTGAATGAATAACAGCTGATTAGAAATGAGACATCATGTTTCATAGGCACAGCGGAAATTACTATACTTCCTGTTATAAAATCAGAATGATTTGTGCAATTTTCTACGTATAAATAATGAGTAATGAGAGTAGTTACAAATCATGTTTCACTTCTGTTTAGAGACTTATCATTTGGGTTTCGCATTTTTTTAATCGCATAAAATTTGCTTTTTTTCGTTCATGAATGTAAATACTATTATGTTTCTTTGTGAATGAAAACAATAGCATTGATTTAACAGTTATATAAATATAATAAATCAACTATGATTAATTTTGCAGAATTTTTTCTGACTGTTAAGCAAAAGTTTTTATTAACTGCTAAAGGCAAATGGTGCATGAAGTGGATGAAATGGTACTTTATTTGGTTAAAGTACTGCCAACCAAAGTATTATATCTCCAACTTCTCTAACCTTTCTGATGATGTAACAACTTTCCCCTTTCTCTGAAGAAAGTCTGTTTTGGTATTAAAAAAATTATTTCACCGATCTGTAATTGTCATGTTTTCTGAATCACTCCCATCAATATCTTCGATTTTACCAGTTACCAAGAAAATGTGTTGGTCTGATGAATACTGCCAAGGGAATCTGGAGGATGGAAAAGGTATTCCCAGTCGATCATGATAATTTCCTTAGTTATTCTTGCTATATCTTGAAGGAAGAGAACATCTTTTCTATTAACTATTAGTAGCTGCTTCTGGGTCCTTGTAACTGAAACTTACAGCTGTGCTGAGAAACAACAGGTTATATGTTTTAGCCATCTGTCACAA